ACTTTGTATAGCTTATTGTTATGATTAAATGTGATTTATATCATATTTAGATTTACTTTAACAACAATAGAGGTCACCTTTAGTGTCTATGAGTTGCTGTTTACTCTGTACACTTTATATAAATATACTTTAGCACTTTAAGTATTATACTTAGATTCAATTACAATTGACAGAGGGCACTCTAAGTGCTTGTGAGTGGCAATATACTTAATTCTCCTTATAAAATTATACTGCTTGAAAAAGATCCTTGGGTCAAAACGTTCAATAAGATGCATATCTAAGCCTTGGAGTACCTGGACCTTTTTCTTTACAAACTACTTGTGCCTTGGTGCTGGCCCCATGTTTGGTTGCACCCAGGTTTCATTTATGGATTGAGTGCAGTTCCATTTTTTTGGTTTCTTGGCCATAAATGTAAGCATGAGAGGGTAAAATTATGGTGTTTGAGTTATCTTATCCGGAAGCACTGGATGTGGACATTTTTAACTGATTCTGTTGTATATCTTCTTGTCTAGGTTTTTCCTTGGCCAAAGTTGCATTAATTTAGCTATATGACCAGGAGGCATCCAGTCTCCCAAAGGGTACTGGATATCCCTTGGGTCAAACAAAAGCCATCAAGCCATGATTCATTATCTGAAGCAGAGCATTGTGCTTGCCATTAATTGACAATAGAAAATTGTTGTAAAGAATGCAGGATGGGAGTATAGAGTCTGTTTTGCGGTGCTTATTGCGCTTGGTTGGTGCTTTATCCTTTTGTGGGACTGACCCAAGACCAGAGACTGTTTAGAACAGAATTAATAACAGGCCACCAGTAATAATACGGCAATGAATTTGAAAGCACTCTGGTAATGTCTGTAACATGAACTAATAAGGGTCAGTTTATCTTGTTACATTGGGGCTCACCCTTATAGAGGGAAAAATATGTTCAATAGTAATACTCCTAATTGAGGGCTCACCCTACAAAGTCCTCCACAAAGACTGCTACTGAGGATGGAGTTCACTCAGCGAGAGAGCGTGAATCCATGGCCTAATTAATACAACCAAATGTCGAACACTGAACAGCACAGGAAACGGGCCAGGAGGGGGAAATGAAAAAAATGGTGAATTGAAATAGACAGGTTGAAAATATAAGTAGTAGAGAACCGTATTAACCCCTTCCCAACCGGGGACGGAAATTTTCTGTCAACCTTGTCCTTCAGTTAAGGACCTTGACGGAAAATTTCCGTCATCTAGTAAAGTTAACCCCAGAACGCCGCGATTGCGGGGTTAACTGTGCTCCGGTCTGCCTCTTTATTAGAGGCAGACCAGGAGCACCCGATTGGGCAGTCAGAGCGAGCATATGTGCTCAGTGTACTTACCTTCCGCCTCCCTGCACTTCTGGGTTCTGTGTGAAGTGCAGGGAGATGGATCAGAGCTGATCCTCTTCTCCATGTGTAAAAAATAAATAAAATAAAGTTAAATCCCACCCCCCATCCCCTTCTTTAATAAAATTAACACTTCCCTGCCAATTGATCACTGACTACAGTGATCAGTTGGCAGGGTATACATTGTTAATTTATTTTTTATTTTTTTTAACCCTCAGGTGTTAAATTTATTATATTAATTAATTTAAATATTTAAAAATTATATATTTAGCTAGCTGGGATGGGTGGACGTTAGTGGGGAATTGGGGAATTTGGTGTTAGGCTAACTAGAGGTTAAGCTAAAAAAAAAGTTTTACAAAAATGTTTTAGTAACGTTTAAGTAAAAAAAAAAATCCCCCTTTACCCAGTCTAAATAAAAATTAACCCCTTCCCTGCCAGCTGATCACTGCCTACAGTGATCAAAATACAGATCACAGTATTATACTGTAATCTAATTTCTTATAACCCCTGAGGATTAATTTTTATTTATTTTTTTAACCCTCAGGGGTTCAATTTATTTAATTTATATATTATATAATTATATATATTTTGCTAGCTGGAGTGGGTGTGAGTTATGGGAAAGGGGGGAATTTACTGTTAGTGCTGCTTACTGCTAGTTAGGGGTTAACAGTAAAAGAAAAGTTTAGAAAAAAAATAAAAGTGTAAAAAAAGTTAAGAAAGTGTAAAAAAATTTAATAAGTAAAAAAAAGTTTAAAAACGGGTTTTACAAAGTAAAAAAAAGTTTTACAAAGTAAAAAAAATACATTAAAAAATGCTCATTACCACTACACTTGGTACAAGCTAGTGGAAAAATGATCCCATGCTAAGGTTCAGAATATGCCTTTTGAATTGCCCTGGTATGTCTTCTTTAAGAAATGGTATGCCTTTATGGGGTTATTGGATTATATAGCCTTGTAAAATACTCTAAAATGGGACATGGACACACCGTAAAAATTCAAAGTTTGAAACAAAACTGGAATGGCTGTGTCTCAAATGTGCCCCTTCAATGTCCACATATACCTGGCAAAGGTACATATGGGGGTATTGCTGTACTCAACTGACATAGCTGAGCAACATATGAAGTATTATACAGTCGTAGCACACATAAGGTTTGCAAAATATACTGTGCAAACTCACTTTGTGTGTCAAAAAGGCAAAAAAAATGCTTATTACCACTACACTTGGTACAAGCTAGCGGAAAAAAGATCCCACGCTAAGGTTCAAAATAGGCCTTTTGAAATACCCTGGGATGTGTTCTTTAAGAAATGGTATGCCCTTATGGTGTAGTTGTAAAATGTAGCCTCCTCAAGTCCTCCATGAAAATTCCCACTTAAAAACTTTAACTTGTCACGTCTCTTTTACAGCAGTGTAACTTCACAAAATAGTGTCTAGGTCACACATTGGGCATATTGTTTTACTCAGAAGACTTAGCTGAGCATAATTTGTGGGGTGTGAACTTAGTGGCACATATGAAATGTACAAACTGCCCAGCAAAAATGTAATTCTTATGTAAAAAATGCCCCAAATTATTTTTTTACCACATACTTTGGCATATATTGGTGAAAAAATGGAGGCATGTTAAGGCACAATATGCACCATATGAGATACCCTGGAGTGTCTACTTTTACAAATGGTAGGCCTTTGTGTTTTTTTTTTTTGAACAGTCAAACTGCTATAATACCCCAAATTGAAGCATAGGCCCATTAAATCCGCCTCTCAAAATTCTACTGTAAATGTTGAAATGGACAGGTCTCCTATATGGCAGTGTAGCTTCACGAAATAGTGCCAAAGACATACAATGGGGGTATCGTTGTACTCAGCAGAAGTAACTGAACACAAAAAACTTTGTACAGGAATAGCACACACCAACTTTACAAAATACACATGAGAATTTCTTTGTTATAAGTTTGTGTGCGAAAAACCCCAAAAAAACAAAATTTTACTCCAATATTTAGCAGAGCTTGGCGGTGAAATGGCTATGTAGAAAGTGTCAAAACAACCTTAGGACAATAGCCTGCGATGTCTACTTTATATAAATATATACTTTTGTGTGGCAATTTTGTTTTCTTTTATGGCTATTAAGCTTACAAGACAAACATACCAAATTCTAAAATTGCTCCACATTAAAAGTTTATTTTACTCCTTGTGCTTTATGACCTGTAACTACCAAAAAAAACTTAAAATCCCATACACATTATGTATTCTGTAAATCAGAACAACTAAATGAATTTATTTTTAATTACTTTCTTTAACCTGCACTAATTAGGCACACATTATTATTGCAAAAACTGTACAAAAAACACATTTTTTTTCTTTCTTTTTTTGCCTTTTTCTGTATTTTTTTAAATAATAAATAAGTGTGTGTGTGTGTGTATATGTGTGTGTGTGTGTGTGTGTGTGTGTGTATATATATATATATATATATATATATATATATATATATATATATATATATTACATATTACATCAAATTTCTGTCCTTTAAAAAACAGTATATTATATGTGTCGGTGCAATAAACTAGAGAGATGCAAATTGCAGTTGAACGCATACAGCAAGAAAATGCAAAAATTGATTGTGTCATTAAGCGTAAGACAAGCTTCTGAAGCTGTGTCCTTAAGGGGTTAACTAAAGGGTCGAGGGGCACCAATATTATAGGAAAATTATGGGAACAAATATATAAGGGACAATATACATATGTCTAAAACTGAATATAAACACTGGTGAAATGCAAAAGACTAAGTACAACCACAACACAGAATCAGTTATACTCTGACCTGTAGTCACTGGCGCAGCAAAGAAAGAGGAGGTACCTGATGTCTCTTCTCCTCATATACAGATTCCTATGTTCTGATTTGTTACTAGCTTCTGTATTGGTGTTCTTGCTGCTGGATGGACCTAGTAAAGAAAGAAAAGCAACAATTACGCCTGCAGTAATAACATAAACTACAGTATTTACACTTGCTCATAATAAATTACTGTTGAAAATGAAACACATTCTGAATGTGGTTCTTTATGTCAAAATAAGTTATTAAAAAAAAAAAAAGTATGCAGCAAAGGAGAGTGTAAATAAATCAACAGAACTGGACAAAAACGACTTCAATGTTTAAAAATGTACAAGTGAGATTATCTTAAAAAAATGTAATCTTTATGGTAAATATAAAAATATATAGCATATGTAAAATTAATTAACAGTTTATAAAACTGTTATACAAAATTATAGGGATTGCCTAAGACTTGCTGCAATTAGTCAGATATATGATTTAATACACATATAAGACTATATTATGTTTACTAGTTTGCTAATTAGAAATTGCGTCATTATTCATTCACTAAAATGCACACAATAGTAACTCTATAATAATGGTATATTTTCCAGTTTCTGGTACCTTGGAATTTATGTTGGCCCTGGTCCTACAGCACCATGTACTTTCTTTTTCTGCCTTTGAAACAACTTTGCTTGATATTCCTGGCAGGACTCTGCCAATGCGACCATTACTATGTATCTCAGGAACCTTATATTTCGAACGGGTTTGGAGACTTCCAGGGAATTTAGAGTACTCCATTAAGGACTGATGCCTCACTGCTTAGACCACCTGCACTTTTCCCAGAGGGCTTGAGTCACCTCTACCTTAATGCCATGAGTTCCCGTTGGGGTGACTGTAGGGACAATTGTCCACTGCACAGACTGAATGGCCAGTATGGTGCCAGGTGTTGTCTCCCTGCTGTAGGTCTTCCTGTGGTGTTTTGCCAGTGTGGCAGACCTGCAGATTCCTAACGAGGGGCTTCTATGGGCTTTCTTTCCATTGGATGCTGGCTGCATAGCTCGACTTCTGATGGTTGTGCCAGAATTGACTCGAAGACCTGTCTCATGGGGTTCATTGGGGTTGCTGCTGGTGATATGGTTGGTGGTATAAACATTTAGCATGTTTGCTTGTCATAATCAGTTACTGACATGTCTGAAATCTGTAAAATGGCTTTCAGTAAACACAGAGACTCATTCACAGCTCATTGTATAAAATGCATCTATTAGTGACTGATAACTAGAAGCATATGTCACTGTAGCTGTGATGAAGCAATAAAGACAGCACACTGCAGCAGGAGAATATTGGAATGATATTCATGATATCTACCCAATAGATATTGACTTAGTAGTAAATTAGATTGACTCACAGGTCAACAGCTGTTAGATGTATATTAGCTAACAGTAAAGAACTTTAAAATATTCTGTTCAATAAATGGAACAGCATCTGGTTGCTCTCAGACCATAGTATGCAACAAAATTATATTCCAGCTGAAAAAAAGTATAATTATGCCCATCAAAGCTCTAAATGAATGATTTGTTCATGCTTTTGAAGATGATTTTAGATGTGATGATCCTTTTGGGAATGTGTGGCAAGGAAAACACTGCAGAGCACCAACAGGAACACGCTATGGAACAAAGGCAGCAGTTAGGTCAATTAGTCAAGAAAATGGCAAGAATCATCAATGGCAAGTTAAAAACCACACTTTCACATGAGTAACTCACATCGGGAGTCAACTAAACCCTTCACGTGCTCATGAATTATTGTTTAGAAATGTTTAGGTTACACAATATTTCAATAAGCAATATATAATTATATTACATAATATAAATGCTATAATATTGAAAATCTTAATGTGTATCATGGTTTTTCATAGAGAGTGCAAGAATCTGTTGGCATCAATTAAAATTACAATTTCTTGTTCACAATATTAGTGAGTTGACAGTAACAGTAGACAGTTGACAATAGCCACCTATAGCACAGTTAAAATCAATTTGTTGGAATAATGTGCCACTATTAAGCTAAATCATGTAAAATAGCAATCTATACACAGCAAGAAAGATTTAGATATCCCTAACTGTTATGGTTTAGCTCCATAGCTGACCAAAACATAGCAGAAATCTAACCCTTCCCCAAGACAATGGGGTAGAAGACTCTGCAGGCTTTTGAGCAAGAGCAGTTTATTTAAACTTCATTGGTCATGGTGGTTGGAGTCACCCTTTAAAATTTCAAAACCTATAATATATAGACAGGTTTTAAATATTATTAACCTAAGACTGTAGAAAATCATACTGTCATGCCATACAAGTGAATTTCTATTTGCCAGGATTAAATTTTCACACATACATCATGATTGAAAGGGGTTTATGAACTAAATATCACTCTAAATAGGTACAGAAGTGACCATACTGCACTCCGAAAAAACAAAACAAAAAACAATACAAATAAATAATGCCTCAACTACAAAAGAGTACGGGGCAATAAAACATGGAGCTGATATCGAGAGAACAATGTCAATATTATATTGTTGTAAAAATTTAAAATGTTTAAATAAAAAATATTTGAAAAGAACAATGTCAATATTACATAAACATCCAATAATGTAAAACAAATTGATGCAGAAATGCAAGGAAAATAAAATATTAATAAAATGACTATCAGGTTGTTCAATCAGTCCATTTATAGATATGTCTCAAGCTGCATTGAAGTCCAGTTCATAAATAGTACATATATGACAGGGATGCAATCCAATTAGAGATCACAGAGTCTGAAACAAAAGAATTACACTCATAGTGAACATTACAAACATATTTTTTTCTCACACACAATAAAATGGAAACTTTCAATGTGAAGCAGGAAAAATGGCTGTACATGAGACTGAGCTAGCTGGGTATAAAAGACCTAAGCTGGGTACAAAAGATGGTCCATCCGGGTGTTAGCTCCTGAAAGAACCACCAGATCTCGGTAAACAAAACTGTCATAGCATATTGTTTACTTAATTTTAAATCTTTTGTGAAAGTTAATCTAAGTATAGAGATAGTTTTCCTTAGTTTAAGTGAGTTGTGAAAGTGTGAAGCACAAAAAAAAATTGTGTAGATTTGTATGATTGTAATACCTAATATGTGCTTGCTAACAAGTCTGAATGTGTATACCTAACTGCTATAGGTGAATTCCTACCACTAATCAGTTGCCTGTATTACACCATCAGCCACTACCTGTCAGAATTATAGTTGATCCAGCACGCAGAATTGTATGACACCTAAAGACTAAGGATAACGTCTAACCAGACCTTAGAATGGCCGGACTTAACGTACCAGAGAATAGTCAAAATACTTGCCGAGGTCAGGGACACAGAATGAGACACAACGATGAGTAAAGCCAGAAGTCAAGTATACTAGAAATCAGGAAAGTCAAAACAAAGCCAAAGTCAAATACCATAAAAAACACAATCAGGAACATACTCTCAAGAAACCAGATAGTGGAAACCACGACAGGGCACTGGCAAAAAGGTAATTTGCGTTTAAATAACCCTCTATAGGCTGTAATTGGTTGTCTCTGTCCTCTGACCCCAAAACGTGCGTGCACGTCTATGACGTGACGACGCACGCACGTTGGCACCATCTTTAATATGGGCGAAGGTAAGTTTATTATAAAATCCTGATCCTCAGTGGCCGGCGTTCCTAAGAAGGACCGGAACGGAGGGAGACGGGGCAGTTGCCCGCCACAACCAAGGTAAGTTTGAAACCTTTCTAAACTAGGCAGCCACGCCGACAGAAGAGCCGAGAGCCATGGCACTACCAGCATTGCCAGTCTCCAAACACTGCTCCTTTTTTCTTCTTTTTTTTTTTTTTCTTCTAGTGTTCTAGTAGTATTGGTATGACTCTGTATTGGGAAAAATTTCTATAATTTAATACGTGCATGTTTTCATTTTGGGTATATCTACTAAAAAAAAGTGATATCTATTTTTATTTGAACAGTTGAGTGTCTCTTTAAGTAAAATTCAGACTGTGTCAGTGAAGATGGATGTGAGTAATGTCTAGACATTAAACACAATGGTAGGCCATAGACTCCTGTCACTATTTTGTAGCCCTAATTATCTACCAGCTGTTGGTATTAACAATACGTAACTGCTGATTTGTAGCAGCAAGCATGATATTGCGTGCAATTTTGTCAAAACAGAACTTAAATAAAAACCTAAATGAAAAAAATTCAGACAGTTATTGAAATAAAAGTATATTATAAAAACAATTATACAAACACTTTGTAGACAATGTAAACGAGATTAGCTAATCCAACAGTTTAAAATTAAAAGGTAATTTCCTCTGTTCAAAATAACTAATTGGGCAAATAATTAAATATGTGATTCCTCGTTTTTCAACTGGATTTTTTTTCACAAAAAAATTTAGGTAAACCCGTTCATCCTTAATCTCAAATTAATGTAATTACATCAAGATCTTCCCTTAAAAAGGAATGAACTCTGAAGGCTTTCAACTCACACCTACGCAGATTTCTTGTCCCAATACATTTTTAGATGGTATTCCTTTGAAGGCATGAAAGTAATCTCATGCGACACTTAATTCTTCCCACCACCGTTACCAAGATTGGTGTTTTCTATAAAAACTGACAAGTTAATGGTAGATATTCCACCAGTGCAGTCATGATTAATAGTTCATCCTGATCCTGTACACTTCATGGCTCCAAACAATGCAACTACATGTCACTTTACATTATTTTACAAGAAGGTCTTTGTATTTCATATTCTGAAAGTGACATTAGCCAAGGAATAGGTCACCCAGCAACATTTTTTTGTCATCCAGAGTTAGAAAAAGTAAATTTTAAAGACATTTTGTAAACATTGAGTTCTAAAAAGAAAAAATAGTAATAACACCGTTACATAGAAACATTGGTTGAAAAAACACTACAAGTCTATCAAATTCATACAGAGCACAATTTAATAGTGGGTGATTGAATCAGCAAAACTAATAAATATAATAGGTGAGAATAAATAATGGGTGCAGCTGTTTAAAAAAAAAAATCTGCCTCTTCAAACAGACAAACAGCATAAATACAATAACTGAAACTTTACAATTAAGATAATTTAGAAAATAAACTAACAAATGTCAAACAATACAGTAAAATTCATTATAGAGAAACTGAATATTATATTGACATAAAAGGATTGGGGTAAAAGCCTTTATATAGCCCAGTATAATAATTAAAATAGAAACTAAGACCATTTACCACCCTCTTCTCATTATGCGGCAGTATACACAGGATTGGAACAAGGGAGGAGATAAAGCTTACAAATACACCAAAAAAGGGACAGCAAGTAGGATGACCATCACACGTCATATCCTCCAAACAATAAAACAACTATGACACCATGGAACCAAATATAATTGGTGGAATGTCACACGGTCCATCCCCATTTGTGCCCAATGTGTCGATACCAACCCACATTTATATAAGTTTATGCAATAACCCCCAGCAGCAGGGAAATAATACATGAGTAACCACGTGTCCCTTGTTAACACCGAACCTCTCCAAGAAATTTATTAAATTTACTATCATTATTACCTTCAACGTGGATTCTGTCTCCATTAAGGGCATGCAGAACTCCCCAAAAACAGGGAATCTACATCGCGAACATTTGTATTAAAATGAGTGTATACTGTTACTAATGCAATGCTACTGAACATTCCTTCTGTAATTATGAAATCTGCTGAGATGAATATGCTGTAACCCCATAGCCTATACCCCTTTCTCTTATGTACCCACATTTTCTTTTAATTTTGTTATATGGCAATATTTCAAAACAAAACAATAAAAACTACTATTGGAAAAAAAACAGAAAAAGAGGTAACATATTCACAGTTAAAACTGCACTGTCACTGTCTGGGGACTTTGCATAATTTGAAAAGACAATTGACGGTGATATTTCTGCTGGTGGCATGGTGGCCGCAGGGGGGGCAGGAAAAGGTGAGTTCTCCTAACCTGGACCTGTCTTTAGGGGTGCCGC